GTCTTAGTCCACACCGACCGCGCTGAGGAAAGTCTATGCAGTCAGCGAAAACCGGCTAATGCTTTCAAACTTCTAGCAACACCTCTGATATTTGACGAATCATCTCGGAGTGCGTCGCATTCATCGTCAGGAAACGACGACAAGATGGCTATTGCTGAACCGCTTGTTCGGCTTGCCTCTCCAGCGCCTGCAGGGTACGAAAGCCCCGTGACGAAATCTGCCATCGACGTGTCCGTCGTCGAACAAATCCACTCCAAGGAGTCATCTCTGGACTACGTGGACCACCCCAAGGACAGAGTAGTTTCCTTCTCGTCTACGGATGAGAGCATAGCCCCAACGGAGGACGTTCCCCGCACTCCATCTAGGTCAACCTCGACCAGTTCAAGATCTCGAATTGAGGACTCAGTGGAAGCCATCGATAAACTCGAGGAGGAATTGGAGGCCATTAACACCCGCTTGGCGACACCAAGCAAGTCTCGACGGATTCAATCTGTGGTGGATGAGTCTACTACGACAGCTCCCACAAGGGAATCACCTATTAGGCGGCCCGCCCCCACGTTGAACCGCACTCAATCTGTTGGCGCCGCAGCCAAAAGATCGTCACAGGTACGCGCAAACCAGAGAAAGTCTGTCAATTTTGACAGCGATATCCCAAAGGGATCCCCTGGAAAAGCACCTACTACAAGGCCTCCTGTGCCTCGTCCAACCAGCCTTCTACCGCCCAAACCGCCTGCCAAATCCACGAGGGCTCCTACCAAACCCTCTTTTGAGCTGCCAGGTGAGGCCACCGCTCGCGATATCAAGGCGAGGCGCGACGCTCGCCTGGCTCAACAGGCCCAGGAGAAGGCCGCTGCGGCAGTCCCTCAGCGAACTAGATCTCTCAAGGCCCCGATCAAGCCTAACTTTGAGCTGCCCGGCGAGGCAATTTCCAGGCGCAAGAGGGAGGAGCGAGAAGCTCGTCTCAAACAGCAAGAAGAGGATGAGCGAAGGCGTCGCGAGTTCAAGGCGAGTCCTATCAAGGCAAGGCTGGGAACGGCTACGCAACCTCGAGAGACCGTGGCTAGTCGAGCTCGCCAGAACAAGGGATCCGAGGCCAGCGACATGGAAAGCCCGTCGAAGCGCTCATCAATCATGGGCACTCCTCGTACCCTTGCGAGAACGAGTTCGACGAGGTCGCCACAGACTCGCGGCAGAGGTACCTCACAGTCAGGTACAGAGACCCAGCTTAGCCGTGCTACATCTACATCTACGGGTAGCATGAGCGGCAAGCGAAGCGCGCTATCTGTTGAGGAGATTGAGCAGCAAAAGGTTAAGGGCCGTGAGGTCTTCCACCGTGACAACTCCTATACCCAAGACAAGGAGCGAGAGCGCCGCGAACGCGAGTGGAACGCTAAGATGGCCCGCGAGCAAGCTGCGGAACGCTCTAGACAAGCGAGCCGAGAGTGGCGCGAAAAGCAACAACGCAGCAAGCTCGCTGTCCTGGCTGCCGCGGCAGGCCAGACAGTATGATGGGCCCGACGTGAGGATTTTTGAGACCCTGTTTAGCATGATTTGGCCCTTCTTTTGTAAATTATTCGACCAGTGTATGGAGCCTGGCGCCTGTGCTGATGGAGATGCGTGGAGTCTGGGGCAACGGTATCGACTGTTCAGCTGGCAAGGTTGACACATAGACACGTGCCGTATAGGAGTTTTGATGTTCAGTTTTAGAACTTGCTTATGGTTTAGCATCGATATGTCGATTGCTGTCCTTGTTTATAGTTTGACTAGGCCCGTTGGTTGCTGGAAATAAATCTCTCTTAACCCATGAGTACAACTCTGAAGACACTTGTTTGGGTACTGTATGTGAGCACTTATAGATCAACAATGCTATTTTCAGATCAATGATCGTACAAGTAGTCCGTGGGAGCATTTACCGCCTACTGCAGAGATGAGAACGTTTGATTTGTGAGAACCGTCAGGCGGGTATTCGTCAATGAACAAGACACCGCGTTGTAGAGGTTAGAGTGTAACCCGGGGTATGAAGACAACGGCGGGACCGCACGGCCGGCTAGCGTGCCGGCGCTAGCGGAGCACGCCAACGACATCCCGTTGGGTCCAGCGGATGGGTCGCTCCTCTTTAACCTTTCATTACATCGACATACAAGCAACCTCAGGATTGGTAGATTCGACGGAAGACAAAAGCAAGCCAGCAATCGAACACATCTCGGCATCAATTCTTCACAACCTAATTTTTGGTACTTTACCGCGAAAAACGCCATTAGAACATGAGCCCCGCAGCCTCAATCCCATCCCGAGACCAGCGGCCGACGGTCCGTCTGGATCAAGGAGCTTTCGTCGGCACCACGCTCTCTGAACCAGAGTTCCCGCGCGATGTGGAGGCGTTCCTCGGTGTGCCGTATGCGAAGTGCCAGCGTCTTCGTCGGCCGGAGGAGCCGGGCCACTCTGGCGACTCGTTTGATGCGGCCGAGTACGGACCCGTGTGTCCCACCGCGGACCCGACGTACCCAGCGGATGAAGAGGGGTGTTTGAACGCTAACGTATTTCGTCCGGTGGGGGCAGTGGTGGAAGGGAAGAAGGTCCCGGTTCTGGTGTATAGTACGTCTATGGGTTCCCCCTTTCCAGCCGACGGTTGTGGTGCGGCTGTTTGAAATACAACGTATGTATGTACTAACAGCAGTCGAATGTAGCGCATGGCGGGGCTTTCAACTTCGGAAGGGGAGGGGAAAGGAACCTCGCGGCGTTTGTTTCGTTTTCGAAGCGCGATGTGGTTGCCGTGAGCTTCAATTATCGTCTTGGGCCGCTGGGGTTCCTCCCGTGTGGTGTTGCTGCCGGGGAAGTCATCGCGAATCTGGGGTTGATGGACCAGAGGGCGCTGCTCGAGTGGGTGCAGCGCAACATTGGCAGGTTTGGCGGAGATGAGGGGGATGTCACGGTCATGGGCTTCAGCGCCGGGGCGCATTCGGTATGTTCACACCTCCTTCACAGCCATCTTCCATCTCTCTATTGCTATTCCACTCTTCCCCTAGGATGAAGTAGTCATGAAAGGGAGAGTCAATTGGAGTGCTAACACGCAAGCACACAGCTCGGCCACCACCTCCTCTCCCCGCCCTCGCGCCGCCTCTTCCACCGCGCCATCCTCGAATCCGGCGCCCCGACAGCCCGCTCCGTCCTCGCGGCCACGCACCCCCGCCACGAAGCACAATTCACCCGCTTCCTAACCCACGCAGGCCTTTCTAGACTCTCATCGACGCCAGACAAGATTTTACCAGCCCTTCGCGCCCTACCCCTTGAAAAATTCCTTCAGGCCTCGCTGGCTACCTGGTCAGAGTGTGCCCCCTCGGTCCAATGGCCCTTTCAACCATCCATCGAGGAAACCAGCAGCAGCAACAACGACAACGACAGCAGCAGCAGTAGCATAATCCCCCTCGCCCCAATCAAAACCTGGACTTCACCCACACTCCTCCCTCCCCTCCCGCCCCTCCTAACAGGCTTCAACACCTCCGAAGGCACAATGTTCGTGCCCGCAACAGCCTCCTCCCCAACAGCCCTCTCAGAGTTCTTCTCCGCCCTCATCCCCGCCCTCTCCGCCGCGGACCTCGCGACCCTGGAGACGCTGTACCCGCCGCCGTCGACGTACCCGCCTCCTCCGACGGCCTCTCACGGCGCCCAGTTCCGGCGGCTGGCGCAGGCCTACGGGCACTACGGGTACATTGCACCGCTCCTCCACTCGGCGCACTTTGCCTCCAAGAAGAAGTCGGCCGGGGATGCTGGCGCGGCACCGGTCTGGGTATACGAGTACGCCGCACACGCCGACCTCGCCGCCGCAAACCACGGCGACCACGTCCCCGCGGCAACACACGACACGAACATCCTCACCCCGCACAAGACGCCCGGTCTGCTCGCCGTCTCGGACGCAATGCACACCCACTGGTCCTCCTTCGCCACGACCTCTGACCCCAACGCCGTCGATACCAGCCATGACAACCCGGGCCCAACCTCAAACGACGTCTCCTGGCCCCCCTTCATCTCCCCCTTTGGCGACACCGCCGCGGACGACTACATCCCGCGACCGGCAGATGACCCCACCGAGACGAGGGGCAAGATCCTCGTCTTTGGCGAGGGCAACGACGAGCTCATGGGCCGTCTGGGCCAGCGGCGCCGGGGCACCGTGGCGCGCGTGCGGACGCTGACCGAGGCCGAGGTGAGGCAGTTCCGGTTCTGGTGGGATCGGGTTGGGCTGAGCGAGGGTATGGGTGTTGTTGAAGAGGAGGGGTCCAAGTTGTAGGAGAATCTGTTATAGACGAGTCGATTGTTAGTGGGAAAGCTCGTGTTACCAGATACAGACTCTGCGCTTAGGTGGCTTATAGTGAAACGGCACGATAAAGCGATATGAATGCAAGAGTAGATTGACAAAGGAATATTCATTCATACGTGTCTATATGAGACTGTGTTTCGAAATCTTAGAGATGTCGACTATCCTACTCTTTAACTACCTACTACTATACTAGAATCCTCCAACTTTTCTTGTGCGGAAGCTCGTTTCTTGCTGCCAAGGTACCCTTGGTTGCTTTGCCCAGGAAAGACGTTAGCAAATCATGTTGCCTGTGCGCGCCCTTCATGAGCATGCAATGTATAACAGATTAAACTGGAGCAACACGGTGTGGATAGCATGGGTCGATATAAATCCCCAAGATGTTTATGTATATGACGAATAAATCATGTGCGTCGAAGTGGATTATGATCTCCGTGGCATTGGGCGAGCCATTACGTTTGGAATACGCCAGGCAAGGCAACGGAGTAAACAATATTAAAAGTAAGAGAAGCGTCGCGTGGCAATAAAATGCCACCGTGTCGCATGGTGCCGTAAATCCGTAACGCCGTATGTGTTTCTCGATTTCGAGATCGTTGGTCTGATGGGGAGGGTGGGTATCTTCGGAACAGAACCCCAGCAGACTAATAAGCAACAAACAAAACTTTTGGAGTAACACACCAGACCTTGTCTAGAAGTTCTGGGAAATACCAGCGTTTTGCTGTTGGGGATAGTGCGAGGGGTTCTCAATCCGAGTGTTGCGACGAGCTGGGTTGTCGCGGATGACCGGTTGGCCGGGGAGCTCAGTAGCCGGGTTGGCGTAAGGGCTGTCAGAGTACGGGTTGTTGGCGTACTGATCGTAGTAACCATTCCCATTGCCATTGCCGTTGCTGCCGCCGCCGCTGTATGCCATGCCGATTCCGTCAGAGGTATCTGAGTGGTTCCCTGCGCTGTAGGAAGATGACGCATTGGAAGGTCCACGTTGAACACCGCCTCCACGGTTCATGGCTGCTGAAGGGCCCATGGCGCCAAGAATTTCGCCATCAGGTGAGTACGAGCCGTCGTTGATCAAAGGCTCTCCTGAACGGTTGTCAGTTCCTCCATGGCTGGGTGAAGTTGTATCCGAGTATGCCGCACCTGTGTTGCCTCCGGACATGGTCGTGGACGCCTTACGTCCGGTGGAGCCGGCAAGAGTGGTAGAACCCCAACCACGGTATCCGGATGAGGCCGCATCTTCCTTCATTTCGTATGAGCCGCCATCGCCAAGGGACGGGATTGTGGGGTCCGCGTTCGGGTTGTAGGCATAGTCCTCGACCTCCTTTCGTCGCTCCTCCTCGGCGTCCTTGCGCTGCTTCCTCTTTCTCCAGAAGTACAGGCCAGCCAGGATGAGCAGGGCAACGGCAGCGATGGGTACGACAACAGCAACCGCGATAGTGCCCCCGTTACCAAGACCGCCCTTGGAATTACCGCCGGAGTTGATGGCGCCGCCTGATGCCGTAGCGGAAGCAGATGAGCTGGCAGCAGTGCCGGTCTGCGTGACACCCTTGGTCTGAGTGATGACGGTAAAGATGGTGCTTGTCTGACCTCCCGCTTCGGTCGGCGTGATGACGACAGTAGTCGCGACTAGGGTAGTTTGCTGTTGCTGGGTAGTACTTTCGGCAGCTTGAGTAGTCGGAGTCGTGTTCTGCTGCTGAGTAGTTGGTGCAGCTGCCGCAGAAGTCGTCGCTGCCGGAGCTTGAGACGTGGTTGGTGCTGCTGCCGCGGAGGTTTGCTGCGTCGTGGGTTGTTGCGCGGTGGTAGGAGCCGCTGCTGCGGAGGTCTCTGCCGGAGGAGTGGTGGTGACGGCGGCGGCGCTCGTCTCTGCGGGTGCGGAAGTGCCCGGTGTCGCGGCGGGAGCCGTTGTGGCCTCGCCGCCCGGGGTCGTAGCATTCGACGACATTGTGTTTTCTTGTCTCAGCAAGATCTGTGGTGGTTGACTAGGTGGTGAAGACATATTAGCGACTGGTGAGGGAGCAGCTTCGATAGCATCGCCAGACTCCGAACAAGGGATGATGAGTATTCAACAAAACAAGACGACGGAAGAGCTGAGATGGGACGAGGGGTTGGGCAATTGGCAACCAAGGCCAAAGACCCAATCATTTTGTGCGCAACTAACACAACAGATGCAGCAGGTTTCTTGGGAGGCAAATTGATGATCGGCAGAGATGCCGTAGTGCACTCGGCAAAATCTGGGAAGCACAGCGTCGAACAACGTACCTCCAATGAGAGCGATTGGCTCACACGTAGCTTGCAGGGCGGAGAAAGGGAGGTGTTTCAATACAAGCGATTCTGCAATGAACAACTCGTCGATTTAGTCGATTTAAAAGTGCGGTCGACTCTCAACCAAGCAGTGTGAGAGGCCAATTTTGGCGATACACGTGGAACCGGCGGTTCGAGGCCTCGGTTCAGGGTAAAGCGACACACAATTGACGGGTGCGTCGGGGTGTCGAGGCGAGGATGGAATCTTGGTCAAGAGTTTCTTTGGAAAATTGTGGGAAGTAATTGTCGCGTCTGGGCGGTAACAACGGCGATGGAGCGACGGGTGTTCAGACAAGACGAACGGTTGATTATTGGCGCGGGTGGCTGAGTCAGGTTCAGGTGGTGCCTCTGTGTGCCTGTGAGGGAGCTCCCAAGACGGACCGTCTCCTGGCTACTGCGCGGGTCGGCGTTGGGTTCGGCGGTTGGCAGGGCCCTACTTCGCTTGGTTCGTACAGACGAGACGGTACCTGGTCGCGGGCAGTATCCGTCCAAGGCGTATTCCGTAGTGCCGCGCGAGTATTGTAGTATTGTCGATCCTCAGTGACGAAGTGGGATCGATTGGCGACGGCGTCACAGGAAAGTGGGAAAAAGCAAAAGGACAGGGCAGAGAATTTGCAAGAGTTAGAGCGAGAGGAGGAAGGTGAAAAGTAGGAAGAAATGGGGAAGAGGGGAAAGAGGAGGAAGGAGGAGAGCAAGGTCGCGATTTCCTTGGAAGGATGCGGACTGATGCTGATGCCGCTGCCAATTGAAAGTGAAAGAGGAAGGACCGGGGAGGGGGTTGACGAGCAAGGACGGCCGGGGGGACGGGGGTGGAAGGATATTGACGGGAAGGCAGCGAAAGGGAGGGAGGCAGAAGGGGGGAGGGCAGCTCCGAAGGAGCGGCAGAGGAAGGCGCGGAAATATGTATGTTTTGAGCCATGGCAATCCAGCACCTCTTCGTGCAGCGTGCCTGCCCAAGTGAAGTGGACCGACCTCCCCTTCCTCCTTCACAGCCCTCCCGCCCTGCCATTTACGTCCCAGGGAATCATTGGAAGTCACGACCGTCAACCCTGCTGGCGTGTGCCTGTCTCGTGTCCGAACATCTAGCTCCAAGCTGCAATGTACGGATACTGCAAGCCAGCCTCCAGTGCAGGTCAAAGTCAGACTGCAAATGGAAGACCAAAAAAGGAAACTCAGTGGTACTGGCCTGACTGGGTAGACTGACCTGACCATCCACCGTTGCCTTAAGGTGCGGGTGGGTGGCTCAGCGGGAGTTAGGGCCGCTGCTTCAGTGGCAGGGCGCTGAGCTATGCTGCGACCAGCCTCAGGTCAGCCAAGACAGTACATGATCTCTCCTACAAAACTTGCGCTGGACATAAGTATCACCCCGATGTTACTGACGCATCTGCCAGTGGAGCGGACCTAGAGAGAACCTGACTAGGACAAAGTACCTTGTAGAAAGGGCCGATCTGTAGTTCGCGCGAGGTATGCATGGCACGTTGCAATGAATGGGCTCAGCCATATGAATACCTATCTATGCGGACAGCAGAGAGAACAATTTTAGCCCCATTGAGTTCTCCGAGTCTCGAGTCTTGAAAAATTGACAGCTTCTGCCCAAAGTCTTAACTCTTGTCGCGTGCTCGAGAGGAACAAGGCGGCTTCTGCCGTCCATCATCTCCCGTGTCTCAGTCATTTCGCAACTGCTGCGGTACATGCCCGTTGAGATTGCGAATTGCTAAGCCGCTGCCCTCTCTGGCTCGCAGGGACCACAAACTCCCCGAGCCTCGAGGGACCCCTGGCACGAACAAAAGCCTAAAGCCCTTGGAGCTCCTTAGAGCTGGCCATACATCACAGCACCAAGGACGAATGGAGAGTACTCCCGGAAGGCGGCAGCGGATGCTTCCAGTCCGGGAATGTTGGCTGCTTCCTTTCATATCGTCGAATGCCTGCCGAGTCTTGTTCCTGATCCAAACGGGCCAAAGAGGGAAAGACCAGCAACCAGCTGCCTCCAAACCCACCTGGGCCACCGGCCTTAGCCCTCAGGTCAGAACCGTCAGGTATGCCGCAACGCAGCCGCACATGGTCCCTGATGTCCCTGATGTGCGTTCCCGATGTCGCGGCTTCGACACCTTTCAACCAAAGACATGAATGCAAAATACGACACCTCAAACGCGACACGCCAGGTAGATACGCAAGCAACTCAAAGCAAGGCATGTCGGTCAGGTTTCACCTCATCTACTCTCTCTTCTCAATTTTGCAGACTCTAGCCAACTTTCAAACCTAAATACTTCAGACGACGGACAGCCCGCAATCAAAATCCAGTCAACCTCCACTATGGTATCTTGCTGTGCGAAAACATCCCGGCAGGCCATCCTTCAACCAGCCCCTGCACCGGCCGTGCCTCGCTCTGGACTTTTAACTCTGGACGCCTGGAGACTGGAGTCCTCTCCCTCGGGCCCGTGGAGAAAATTGACCTCATCAACGGGATTCGCGAGTTCGCTTCGCTTTGCTGGGGACACCGGAGGGCCCGTTCGCTCCCTCTCGTATCCAGAGTGACGGTCGTGAGCTCCAGAACTGGTTAATTTCCCCTGCCCAGCGAGCATGCACCTTCCTGGTAGACCACGCCGACTGCCAGGTCCACCGTCTGCAACACTCGAGATGGCATCATTTGCTTCCAAAGAAGAAGAAGCGAAGAAACGCATCGCAACCCTTCTGGTGGTCAATCTTCTCCGTACGAACATACGGACACAGTCTCAAAGGGTCACAAGTCGGCAAGTGCCAGTTGGCTCATGTCCACGAATACGTATCTTGGTCTCAGTCCACGTTGGGATGTCTCAAACAAGCCAACGCCCGGTCAGGAATGTCACCGACCTTCACCAACAACCAATCCTCACAAGTTTTGAAGTTCAAATTTCGATGCATGCCTCCGAGACTCTGTTATCTCTTGGCTCTCACCATTCAACCCACCCGCTATTGTCGAACACACCGACTCTACTGATGACTTGTTTATTTTGAAGCTCATATCCACCTTGGTCTCCCTTACGTCTTCTCTATAGCGACCAGGTTCAGCCTTTACCGACCTGAGCGTTTGCCTCCCTCTACGGATACAGGCTTCTCGGCACCTGTGGAGCCGTTCGTATCCCCCAAAATAGAGGCTGCTGATCCTCAGCCGGTGCCTTTTTCTCGGCGAGCACCGCATTCGATCTGTTGTGCGATCCCATCGATCTACAAAGGTAGCCGTATGGCGTCAATTGCGCGCTTCTGTTGGTCAGATCGGCGGGGGTTTGGCCTGCTTGACCAAGCACCAGACTGCCAGAATGCATCTCAGCCAGCTGTCGAAGCGCGGCAGGACGATTTCGAACGAAAGCCGGCCGGGTCAAAACACACCCGGCCGGCCCTGTGGCGGCTAACAACCATCGTGGCAGCACACGTCGGAGGAGAGCTTGAACCTTCCGGCTGAAGCTGGACAACAACCTTAAGTCGACAAAGGCTCGAATGCTGGCTTGGCAAAGGGTAGCTGGCATGACATTGCTGATGCTTCAAGGGCTGCTTTCTTCGATAACGCATGTCTGACTAACAACCGGTCGTTTCTCCGTCACTATGCCATTGGCACGAGCTTATTCGGCCAAAGGTTACGGTTCCATCCCTCCTGAATTCTCTGTAGCATTGGTGGTCAGAGTCTTCTGTCATCCAGACCGCTCCGGAAGCTTGTCACACAAGCCTCGAAGCTGCATAGTCCAGTGTCCGGATCAAACAAGCCCACCGCTGCCTGTCTGCAGGTCACAACTCAGAGCCTCTTGGCTTCAAATCGACGCTGCCACAATGCTCGCCTTCTTTCTTTGCGCGAGTATTCAGGCAGTTTGAGTTCGAATGCAATCGGTCGTAATAGCCAGTATGGCGGGCTCTGTCATCGTAATGGCCTGCTATTATGACTTCAATGGCACATATACCTCCACATGACGTCCGTCCATTGTGCCCAACCCTGGCTCAGCATCCGCAAACTTCAGCCGGGATACATTGTCAAGTTTGGCCCCAGGATGTCAAGATCTCATGGCGTATTGGCATAATAACAACAGGAACAATATGCCCTCGGTTCGGGCAGGGCTCTTGAAAGCAAAAGATCTACAGCAACCAACGTCATGTTCCCCTCACTTCCCTCCACACTCACGGAGCATTGACCCAAACTTCGTCGACCTCTCAGCCTCTGTCCTTGGAAAGCATTTTGCAAAAGGGTCTCAGGATCACTTCATCCCAACATCCGGACTTCGGCTTTTGTCCTCAATTCGACGACGAGACCCCTCGCCGACCAGATTCAATCGTTCCTACACAACTTTCTTCGGACCAAGTCCGATGATGGCGATGCCGGTACCCGTAGGTTGGATTGCCTTAATGCAGTCGACTATGCGTGTCTGGCCTGTGTAGTGTCACGTCACCGTGTGCGCCGTCAAGCTGCCGGGACTCTCTCACCGACAGAAAGAACCTTCGATGTGCTCTTTCTCACGCCACCTCACCGGAAACGTACATTCGGCACGAGGCGAGGTAGCGCAACGCCTGCATAGACTCAAAGTCTCTCGATGTTGTTTGCCAGATCCGTGCCGACACCGTTTGGCTCATCGAATTAGCAACCAGGAATCCTAGACAGCAAATCGCCCTCTACAAGAG